CTTCACATCACTTCAAATACTTTAGTGGAACACAAGGACGTTTATATTGACGCCTGATTGCTTTGGCCTGGAGTTGGGCGTCAAGCCAGTGTGAATGCGTCACAATTGGCCCAGGCCAGGTCAAGGCCAGGCCTGGGCCGCTGGTGTGAACGCGGCTTTAGAGAGCCTGAATGCAGGTCATCTCGAGATATGGTCGACTACGCATTCAAATAACGCGTTCGAACTGATTAGTTTATTTCCGTCGGTCTAACAGCTCAATAGATACTGAATTCACTGTTATTACATCATATATATAACATAGTACACAGCAAAACAAGATGTTCACATTCAAACAATATGTACGTTTTTATACAATCAGGAAAACTCCCCTCTATAACAGCCCTGGTGAACCCAACCATATTTAAATTAGTCTAACCTATTTTAATATACCCTTAACAGCCAAACGTATAACCACTATTTCTAATATAAATAATGTACAGTGCTAGGATATGTAAAACAATTCTACACTGTTTTTAAAGGTGCATGCATGATTTGTACAGGCATCTTTTCCAGACATTTGTTATTTGGAGAAAGTTCAGCGAACGGGAATTGCTGTGATCTCCCCAACATGAAAGTTTTTCTTCTTTTTTCTCACAAACTCGTCTTCATTATCACCACCAAGCCTGTAACATAATGAACAAGATGATTCGTTCAGATGTGACGACTAAGACAAAGTCAGATTTTAAGACCAGGTCAGAACTCCCAGCAGACTAAGAGGCAAACTTGAGGTTTGAAAACCGGTCCTGGAAGTCAAAACCTGGACCTCAAAAACATGAAAATGCATATGTCTCTTTTTGATTGTGTATGACACAACATTCATGCTCCATACGTTAATGATTACATATACAAGTCCATTGTACTTTTCGCGCTTTTACATTTTATAGCTTACAAAAAGACAAATTGAATTACAGTCGAACCACTATATTAACGGACACGTCTCTTAAGCGTATACCCTTCTTAAGCGGGCACATATCTCCGGTCGCAATGACCTCTTTAAATAAAATACTATTATCTTTATCCCTATTCAGCGGACACCTCTATTAAGCGGAAGCGGACACGTAACTTGAGGTCCCAATGAGCCGAATAACCTCGCTTAAGCAGAAAAACGTAACTGATGAATGTTTCCTGAATTAAATTTTCATAACAATCAATGGTAAAAATCGATTTGTATAGGTAACAATATGGTTTCGAGTGCAATTTGGGAAAACATGCACGAGTGAGTTTTTCAAAGACGATATAAACGCTAATAACTTGAGCTAATATCCTAAAACAAACTTTTCTTTTCTTTAATTTGTCTTTCAAGCAATGGACAACTTGCATGTTAGACTAAATTTTAATCTAAGTAAAGAGAAGGGAATCAAACACCACAGCTAAAAAGAACATAATGAAATTAGTAAATTTGCAAAATTTGGTTGCGAAATGTTGCAAAGCTTGAAAAAGATAGCCTTGCAAAGTTTGCAAATTTTGTCCATTTTCGGTTCAAAAATGGTAACAATTTCAGCTCGTAATACAAACATATACAAAATATGCAAACTTCGCAAGGCTATATTTTCCGTATTTTACAACATTTCGCAACCAAATTTTACAAATTTTAATACGTTCTTTACGGGAATTTACTTTTTTTTTGCCTAGATCAAAAATTAGTCTTAACATGCAAGTCGTCTATTGCAAGAACAACTGTCTCCTCGAAACATGAACTCGCAGGGACGTTCCACACCATAACCAGCCAGTGAGCCACTCCATTGACACGTTTATCTTTGATCACTACTGTTCCTAAATTACTTGGGCGATACCTCCTGCTGTGTTAGCAGTTGCAAACCTCAATTAAGCGGACACCCCTTTAAGCGGACACAATGGTGAGGTCCCGAAGGAGTCCCCTTAATAGAGGTTCGACAGAAGCTGTACCTGGGCGAAGGCTAATACACCTTGGGATAGATTTTAACCAATACTTACGAGACAGATGTTGATATTCCTTCTTGTAGCTCACCAACCATTTCACGCAATCGTTTAGCACACACAAGTTTGGCTGCCTCGTGATCAATAATTCTCATTGGATAATCTTTCCCAATGATACATCCTGCTGCTTGTTGCACTTCAAGAGGGGCATTCCAAGGATCGTAAATGTACTTTTCAGGAAAATTTCGCAGTTGAGGAATATATTTCCTGAAAGAGTAAGTATGCCAACTGCTTAGTAAAATATACATGCAAAGCATCGTTTCGAAGTTGTTTCTAGTGATTATAAATAGGGCGAGGGAGGATAAGCAAAAGATAAGAGAACTATCCGGATAGTGATTTTGTGAAGCTTTCTTTCCGTTGATTGGTATAAACCAGAATTTAGTACTCATTAATTAAAGCTTCATTTTATTAATTGTATCCGCAGTTTTAAGGCTAGACTTGCCACAAGTCGACCTTGAACGAAACGCAAGCAGCGAGCGCGAGCGACGAAGTCGCGAGGTCTCGCGCGAGCGATTTCGTCGCTCGCTGCTCGCGTTTCGTTCGAGGCCGACTTGTGGCAAGTGTATTTTAAGGCTCGTTTAGACTTCTAGTTCGATTTTCTTCTTCTGGTGCATGTGAACGAGTAGATGAGTTATGAATGTTCAGAGTATTCCCTCATCTCAAAATTATCTACTCGTTTACATGCATCAGCAGAAGAAATCGCAGCAAAAAGTTCAAACGGGCCTTTATAGCGTTTCAACGGTTGAAAAACTCCATATCCGGTGGATTGCGCTATTCAGCCTTCGTACAACCGGACCCATAGGACTAATCCTCACAACCCGACTTCGTTCCCAGGCTCTTACCCTGACCTTTGAATAGCCTGGAAAGAGGTTTTGCGTCTTATTGACTAGCGTAATCAAGGATTAAACACACCATTTGCCTTGTATAATATTTAGTGCTGTTAATGGTTAAGGTAAATTTTTGTTTTAGCTATATTAAAAGGGCACTTTTTCCCTCTAAGGAAAGGGCAGGAGGGGCTGTAGTCCCTGTCTGTAGTCTTTAAAATCTGTCCATAACTTTCCAATGATTTTCGCAGAGATACGGCTTTCCAATAAGGGAAAAGTTAGTTCGCTGACCTCAGAATGACATTCGTCAAAAAGTTTTCCTTCAAGATTGGTTTAGAAACAAACTTAGAGAAGGGTTAGGTTAGGGGTTACGATTATGGTTAGAGTTAGTGTGTGGAATAGGGTTAGTGTTAGTAAAACCGTTGCTTTGTTACATACAGTATTGTCACTCTGAGGCCAGCGAAACCCTTCCTTCCATTGAAAGGCAGTGAAAAATGTACTTGACCGGGCTTCAAAAACGGGGGGTACCGAGTTTAAACCAAAAAATCCATGGCAACAACAATGTTTTTCCATGATAACAACGATGTTTTTCCAGGCAACAACGATTTTCAAGAAATCTAACCTGAATTTAATCTTTGGTATCGTATTTAAAACCATATAATGTACAAACTAACGCGCATGAACAGAACAAACTTGACAATCACTTTAAGAAACATGAAAAAGTAATGTTACCTTATGAAGATTCCCTGTGGATCATGATGTTTCCCGGTGTTCACAGGACAGTAATATTTATTACTTTTGACAAAAAATGAACTGCAGGAAATCATCAACCAGTTTGCAGCACATAAACTCCATTCAAAGTCGATTTGCATTTCTTGACAGGCCTGGAAAATTCATACAGTAAAATATATTAACCTGTAAGGTTGTCACTCATACTGAACGCATGGTTCTCCTTGTGTGCTTAACAAAGTGTCAAAGGAACAACTTATGTATTCTGAGAGCAACTGCTGCCTGTTCTGGGTAAGAATTGTCAGGTGAGAAAATATTTCCATTCATTCTTTGGGCCGTAAACTGGGGGAGGGACGGAAGAGGCACCAGTACACCAGTCTGTCCCCCCGTCCCATAAACCTTCTTACGTAATAACAGACTGCTCCATTTACTGTTCGGAGTACTCCGGATTTGGGGACCACCAATGAAATCGAACTAGTGACGAAGCTATAGCCATGGCAACTGGTCATTTGCTATGCTAATAAACCTGCACCTAAACAGGTTAAAGACAATACATTTCTAAATATTTGAATAATGGAAATCATTAAATATTTGCATATCATCACCTGTTGCTTCGCTACTGAATCGAACACGACTGTCACTGTTCTGAATTGTTCAGGCTGCCCATGCTCAAAAGTATTTCAGAACAGTCACGTGACCTTGTTCTGTTCTATTCATTAGTGTTCCAAAAATCCGAATACTCTGAAATGGAGCAGCCGGCTAGATTTCTTAAAATCACGTTTCAGAATGTTATCTTGGAATGCAGAAAATACCATTTCTGAGGCACTACATTTAATTATTTGCCAAAGGGTACATGCTCTTTCACTCCCTCTAGAGGGTTCCGTGCCTTGAATCTTGTCACTGAACAGTATACCCAAATACACTCTGGATACGGCACTGGTTCAGCATGACATTGTGTCGTGTAAATTGGATCGATCATCTGACAAAATTTGACATGCAATGCAAACCAAAGCCGTGCTTGTGTATAGGTGTGTTTCAGTTAAATGTTTTTATGGTGCAACACATGGTGGCAATTTCTGAAAGCTTTTGAATAGCTGCATGAGTGCATGACTGTGTAACAAAGCTGCAACAATAATTTTTCAACCATGAAAACATTGATAGGCTAAAAATTAAGGTATAATTGCATGAAATTTAAATAACTAAGATTTCCAGCGACAAAAGGTGGTCATATATTGGTAACCTAATTCGGCATGACTTTTTGGGCATGAAAAATGTGCTGCCCCAATATTTCGAGAAGTGTTCGTCGCTGCATGGTGGTCATTTTGAAAGTATGCACACTTGAGTGAGAAAATGATGCTAAATGTTTTTTTACATTACATGTATTTGCCACCAAACATAAAGTCAATAAAAATGGAGAATACTTTAGTCACCCCAATACCTGTCCTTCCTTCAGTGAAACCATGGATAATAAAATAAATGGATAGGAAACTAGCTGACGTGACCTAATGTTTTCAATGGGCTGACGGCGTGATTGGATGTTGAAACCTAGTTGCAAACCAAATTCTCAAAAACGGCATGTTTAGCAATAATACAGGTAAACATTTTAGTGAAAGAGCAAATGAATATAACCATGCCATTCTACGATGAAATCTCTAAGTATTCCCAGTCAATTTTAGCAAATATTTCAAGCACTAAACTGTGAAAAAGGCATCCCAAATTTCGTTAAAATTGGGGACGCCAATTTCGTAGCTACAAATGTAAAAAAATACAAAACAAAGACAAAAAACATTTACCTTGAATACTTTGTCGTGGCTTAGGCATGTTTTTAAAACAATTAGACCAGTATATGCTTCAATATTACTCTTTTAAAGCGGAAAGTATAGCGAAACAACAAAAATGGCGAGAACTTTGCAATACGCGTGACGTCACAGATTGCAACTAGGTTGTTTTTGCTTACGTCAGCTAGAGTCCTATCCATTTATTTTATTATCCATGGTGAAACCCACCCATAGAAGTACCTACCATAAATCCTTCTTCCCAGGATACCCAGAGACAACCTCTGGTTAAGAAACACGCTGCCGCCAGTCGTCCAAGATGATTTGCCCAACCTTCTTTACGTAGTTGTGTTTGAACAGCGTCGATCCAAGGAAAACCGGTTTTCGCCTAAATTTTAAACACTTCATTAAGGGAAAACAACTTACAGTAATATACAGATGGTGACATAAACGAGCGTGTAGAAAACAAACGTGTGGAAGAATAATTTGGACAACAGAAGTAGGGGAACTATGATGTAGTTGAAGGGTTTTGGTAGATCAGGGTGCGATAATTCAAGATTTTTTATCGCACCTGACTGCATGGTAGTTCAATGGATAAATTATTGCCGCGTACTTGAACTGGTACAAACATATGACTGTTTTCCACTCCAACCGTAACGTAGCGAAACATAGAGTATTTCTTTGTTTCCTGAGCACTAGAGTGGAACTAATGACTTCGACACAAAAGAAAATGCAACGATACTTTACGATATGGTTGAAGTGGAAAACGTTCTTTAAGACTGAATTAAGGTACAGATTTCTGAAAAGTATTCATTCAATAACTTGAATATAAGTTAGAACAAGGAGCATAATTGCCTACACAAACATTAACCAGTGCGACGACTGGAAAGGTATTATATATTTCCTGCTTACCTCGCGCCATCTTTGAAGAAAGTCTCCGTTTGATTCCCATGGAATCTGAAGACAAACAGGATTCTGCTTCATTTTATCAAAGAAGAAATTTCGATGACCAAGCGTGAACAAAAAGTCACGAAACATCAACTTCATCAGGACATTAAGGACATACTGTTTGTTGGTCATCTAAAAATGGACCAGAAACATATTAGAAAACTGGGGGCGGTTCTACGAAGGACGGATAGCGCTTCCACCGGGTACCTAGCCTGCGAACAGGCTCTCAAGGTGAATTGAGAGCCTGCATCGATGACTAATGAATTTTAATGTCTGCGTCTCAAATCTTGACGCGAAATTCTCATTGGTCAGATGCTATAATTTATATGTTTCCGCTGAGCTCTATATATGTCAACTGCTGAAGCAATATATGTCCGTATGTAAACAAAGGGTTTGTTTGCATGTCAGTATCCAAAATATTGAATTTTATTCGACAACTCTTTATATTTTCATGATTCTAGAGTATAATAAATTATCAAGACACAACAATTAAGCTTGCAAGACCATAAAATGTCTGTCTCCTGATTGGATGATTGTATTAAAGCTCTCTGATTGATTCAAATAAAACATCTATAACCAATCAGAAAGCTTTAATACAATCGTCCAATCAGGAGACAGAGTCAGGATCTGACCCTAATTCAAACTGATTGGCGCGACTCGATGAATCAATTGCCGCTTTCAACCAGAGGTTTATTTTAAACCTCTGGAACCAGGGTACATTTGGGCCGAAAATGGTAGCAATTTCCGCACGCAATACAAAAGTATACAAAATTTGCAAGGCTATATTTTCCGCATTTTATAACATTTTGCAACCAAACTTTGCAATTTTACTCATTTTAGTATGCTCTTTCTAGCTGTGGTGATTTATTTGCATCTCCTTGCCTAGTTTTAAAATTAGTCTATAATTGGAATTGTCTGTTAATAAAAGGAAACTTGAATTTTTATATAAAGTTAATCTGGGTTACACCAGTCAACAACCAATTTAAGAAAGCGTTCTGGCTGCATGCTTAGATGACAGTGTTTCAAGCAACATCCCGGAGGCTACAATCGCTCACTGGGCCTTGCCAGGGGTTTTCCTGAGCACATACAGTGTGTAGTAGAAACAGCTTATTGAATATTACATGACTGTATGGAATTTTTCCAACAGTGGAGGTAGTACTGAGGTTCAAATTTGCCAAGACGTACCTTCTTCTGGAGTTTTGTCAAGGTGTGGTAAATCAATCTTGCAGAAATACATCCAAAACGCATGTACGGAGATAACGCAGTAACTTTAGGAAAGCATACATCTCCAACATTATCCACTTCTTCAAGGCCACTTTCAATCTGAGAATAAAAAGTATCGGGTTTAACAAGCGTTTCTTCTGTACATACAGTACTTTTCCAGGGTGTTAGCCAGAAAAAAAGTTTTGTCCGTTAAACGTAAATTGGGAAAGTTTTGTGACCGATCAAAGTCCTTGTGTAGGAATAAATAGTGTTTTTTTCCAACGTGTTTCTCCTTAGATGCAAACAACGGTAGCTTGGTTTTGTATATTTCATTTCAGGTGAATGAACACGGATGCACACCGATTACACTTTGTTTTGTACATTTTATTTCAGTGAACACACACCCAATATGAATGAAACGCGATACATTTTGAGAAAATAGTTAATGGGAAAAAGTAAATAAAACGTTCTTTGATATAATAATATAAAATGCACTTTCTCATAAAAAAAATGAAAATCTTCCAGTAGACCAAGTTGGGAAAGCCCCTTAGCTACTTCAATTGGGAAGAGTCCGTCAAACGAACAGTATATGTGGGCTAGCTAGCACCCTGTTTTCAGTGACACATTCTCGCTATAGGGATGCAACGGATATCATATCCGGCCGGAGAGCGAGATAATCTCATTATCCGGCCGGATATATAAATTATCCGGCCATTTTTTACTTAAGGTTCAGGCCATCTTTTCAGGTTAGAAATGAATAAGATGTAATATGGTTTAAAAAGTACGAGTATCTATCATATTTTACTTGGCAATATTTTCAAGATTTTTCATGCTCGCTAGCAAATTCGAAAAAGTGGGTTTGAAATTGGAACTTTTTGAGTAGGACTTTTCCAATCATGCATGTTTACCAATGTTGGACTCACGTGGACTGTGAAGTTCTTTCCTATCACTTTATAATCAATGGAAATAATAATTTAACCTTAAATGATAAGGCCTGAATCTTACATAACCAATATCCGGTATCCGGCCGGATAGCAAAATGCTTTAGCATATACTCTGGAGGTGGATAGTGCTTTTCGCGCAATTTGAGTGTATGGTCGCTAAGCTCCGGATATCCTTGCATTATTCACCTCCGAATGCTGCGAAACCTTAAGGAAACCTGGGTCAAGCGAGGATGAAAGAGCATGAGAGTTGGCAGTCACGCGATCCTGGTTAACTGTTTTTAATGCTTTCCCAACACTGTCATGTATTCTATTTACGTTGTAATAATATACATGAAAAAATTTCTCAACTCTGATTGGCTAAGAGCAGTGCATTTTTTTCGCCATACAGCGCCAAAAAATGAAATACAGTGCAAATTTCATTGACTATTTAGCTTTCTGATTGGCTTAAAATATGAAACAATAACAAAGACAGCCAATAAAATACAGCAATTTCCAGCAGAAATAATACAAAAATAAACATTTAGGAGTTCTTAGGAGTGACAAAAATGGCCGGCGGTTTTTTGTAAAAAAAATGGCTGCCGTTAATTTTTTCATGTATATTATTAATAAGTAATAGTATGGTTTCTGGTGAAAAAAACAGTACACTAGTGAGTTTTTCAAAGACTTCAAATTGCACTCTCGTGCAAATTTGATAGTCCTTGAAAAACTCACTCGTGCATGTTCTTTCCAAATTACAAACATAGTTGAAATACTGATGAATAAAACTTTTATTTTGTTAGTCTGTAGAGCTTGAAATGTCCTCTGTAACATTACGTGACTGCCAACTCTCATCAACTCTCATCCTCGTTTCACCGGGACTTTAGTTCAAATACCGGGGCTTTGTGGCGCAGTCGTCACAGCAAGCGTCTTTCACCTCTGAGATCGTGGGTTCGATTCTCGCTACGGACTCATGCATGACACTTATGTGAAAAGAGTCAGTCAACGCTCTACCGAAAGTCGTGGGTTTTCTCCCGGTACTCGGGTTTCCTCCCACAGGGAAAGTTGACAGGGTGGGTTGGGATTATCTCCCTAACTGACCCTTCCACCGTATAGCTGTGCTCCGTGATCAGACAGATCGACACAGGTTGAGCTGAGTCCCTCGTACATGTAATTCAGCTTAGCTCCAAGCAGCAAGTAAGGGTGATTAGCACACCCCACTTACTTTACTTCACTTCACTTCACATCACTTCACATCACTTCACATCACTTCACATCACATCACATCACTTCACATCACATCACATCACATCACATCACATCACTTCACATCACTTCACATCACTTCACTTCACATCACTTCACATCACTTCACATCACTTCACATCACTTCACTTCACATCACATCACATCACATCACATCACTTCACATCACTTCACATCACATCACTTCACATCACTTCACATCACATCACATCACATCACATCACATCACATCACATCACATCACTTCACATCACTTCACTTCACATCACATCACATCACATCACTTCACATCACATCACATCACTTCACATCACTTCACATCACTTCACATCACTTCACATCACTTCACATCACATCACATCACATCACATCACATCACATCACATCACATCACTCTCACTTCACATCACTTCACTTCACTTCACTTCACTTACTTACCGATTTAACAAGAGCATCAAATCTTCTTAATGCCTCATCTTCTCCTCCTTTCCAAACGTGCGAACCTTCAACAAACTCTTCTTCAGTCATACCAAATTCCTCCACACATGGCATTTCATAACCTGGCACAACAGGACTGAAACAGCCGTGAAAAGAAACAGCGTCTAATGGAGGCAAGGGATTGTCAGGTTGACCAATCTTCTTTACTGTTGCGATGTAACGTTTGAATGTAAATGGCTGCAGACTATCGTTGGATTTAATTACACTGCAAAAGATGATAAGCAATTATTATTAAACAAATGAATTTATCTCGTGGAAGAACAGTTGAGAGAAATATTGTTTTAGAAACACTCGAGATATTGCAGTGATGTAACCAGGGGTGTATATTCTTCTATAATTTCCCCCCCCCCCCCTGGGGGGGAAGGAATCAAAGGGTCTTAGGGCCAGGGAAGAAATTCAAAGAAGAGTGAAAAAGAAAGGAAGGGAAGAGAAAAGAAAGAGGGAAAAGAAGAGAACAAAGGGAAAAGAAAGGAAAGGGCAAAAGCAAAATGAGGGGGCAAAAGGAAAATGAGGGGGCAAAAGGAAAAGAAGAGAAAGAACAAGGGATGAGAATGAAAAAGAACTGAGAACACTTGGGGATCAGTCTCATATTATGTCAGCAAGGAGGGGGAGGGGTATAGACAAAGTATGACTTTTTATGGCAAGAGGAAGGGGAATTGGAACATAATGTCAATATTTAAATCAAATTTTAAAAAAGTGAATATATATTAATGTTTGTGAAACTAAAAACGTTTGTTAAAAAATGAACGTAATTTAGAGAGAGGAGTACTTTTTAATGGAAACATCTCTAGTTAATATATCAATAATCAATTATTTTGTTGTGCTGTTTATCATTGAGATGCAGAAGTTCTACATAAACTGAAAAATTTGTTGTCAAAATCAGCATTGTAACATCATTTTTCTACCTTGAACCAAACGTTTTTTCGAAAATAATTCTTTAAATCGTAGAAAAATTACTGGAATAGTAAAGGTGGAGCCCAGACTCCGATGCCGCGCCCAAATTTCTTCAAGATACAGGGAAGAAAATCAAAGCTGAAGAGAGGGGAGAAATCAAAGGTCATTGAAGAATATACACCCCTGGATGTAACTTATTGCTTCCTGTGATGCCCGCATGCACAAAGCTAGTTCAAATTATCACGGGCCAGTATACCGTTCGGGCTAGTATACCATTCGGGCAAGTACATATAAATTAGCCAAAAAAGCCGCCCATTTCAAAGTCATTGGTGCTTCCCGTCAAAGTTATCGATATTCGAGTAAACTATCAACATGTGACATAGTTTGCGAAGTTTACAGCAAAGCAAACTCCTTCGCGACTCATTTGTTTCTGTAATTTAGTTCACTGCATCAAGGTCAGGATCAAGATCTTGTGGCAAATCAATTTTATTCAGGGCAAGCAATTTTCACAGCTGTGGTGCCCTAACGGCAACACAACAAAAAAAAGCAAAACAAAAAAACCCCACATTGCAACATAATATAACATAATATTTAATATAATTTAAAATATTAGGAGATTCAACTTACTTAGGAATAGAATAAAGCGTATGTGATACTTTAGTGACGACCCGTATACCATATTTCCCTGCTAAAGCAACAACAGAATCCTCGAGTTTCTTTGCATACGGCTCTGTATCTTCCTCCATTGTCAACTTTGTCACTCTCCACTTCCCAAAGACTTGTTTGAAGGCTGCCATGGGAGAGTCGCGGATAATATACAAAAATGAACCACATTCACGAAGCTTAGCGTCAAGATCTCGGAGACATTGAAGAAGAAATTTACCATGGTTGACAGAAGAATTCTTATTTTGAAAAACAAGCGGATCAAATATATAAACACCATAGAAGTTTCCTCCTTTCCTCCATGCTTCCGCAAGAGCTGGATTATCATGGAGTCGTAGATCTTTTCTAAACCAATGGACAACGTTCTCTCCAGTACTTGATACTAAAATGCAAAGTAAAACAATTATCTTTTGGGTACTTTTTGCGTGTGCTGGTGTCATGTACTCAGGTGAATATGCTCTACCAACTGAGCTACCAGGTCAAATCGGTTCGTGTTGGTGATATTTCGGAACTGAGCATTGGACTATAGTATCCCGAAGGTCGCGGGTTCGATTCCTACTGTGGTGAGGCAAACTTTTCAGCTTGCCCGGTGTGGATGCACACTCAGAGTAACACCACAAACATCTTTCTACCAGTAATAATAATAATAATTTAATAATTTATATTGCGCTTTTTACATACAATGATCAAAAGCGCATTACACTCTATTATACATGCAACTATTAATTATCTTAAATATATACATTTAATGGAGGCTAAAAGCTAGCTTAAAAAGATATGTTTTCAGCGAGGATTTAAAAATTGAAAGAGAACTGATACTCCGCAGGCTAACAAGAAGTGAATTCCAGAGTGTTGGCGCAGCCACACTAAAAGATCTGTCTCCGAATGATTTTAACATCTTCCCCACTGGATGTGAGATGATAATACCCGAATTGGAACGGAGCGAGTAACGTTCATGTTTCCTTATCTTAATAAGTTCCCTAATATAATCTGGCGCCAAGCCGTTAAGAGCTTTGAAAGTTAAAAGTAAAATCTTAAAATGAATCCTAAACCTAACTGGCAACCAGTGTAGTTCCTGTAAAACAGGCGTAATAGAATAGGTTTGGGAACCTACAATTATGAAGGTCGTTCAAACCGGTCCAACTGCAACTTTAGGCCCACCAGCAGGAATGGAACGTGCGATTCTGGTGCAGAGCTCTGACCTATAAATTTTAGTCTAAAATCCGTTCGAAAATTCCATCTACAAAAATCTCACCTACATTCAGTTCTATCGAACGAGATGCCCAAAATCTTAATGTAGAGAATTACTCAATTAAAGGGATATGGCAATATAAATTAAGTTTGTCTTATTTGAAAGAACATTTAAAATAAACTTCCTTTACAATTATTCCGTATGTTGCTTGGTTTTCGAAATAAATCGACTTATTTTGATCAAAAGCAGCGTGTATTCCGCCATCTTGGATATGCATTTGATATACATACGTCACAAGTTGGGTAAAAAGCGAAATTTTTATCTTGCGAACCACATGTCATTAGCAATATGAAACTTGATTTTCCGAAGTCTTTTTAGTACTCAATAGACAATTCCCATTATAGACTAATTTTAAAACTAGGCAAGGAGATGCAAATAAATCACAACAGCTAGAAAGAGCATACTAAAGTTAGTAAATTTGCAAAGTTTGGTTGCGAAATGTTGTAAAATGCGGAAAATATAGCCTTGCAAAGTTCGCAAATTTTGTATACTTTTGTATTGCGTGCGACCATTTTCGGCCTATAAATGTGGTAGGAATTTCCGCACGCAATACAAAAGTATACAAAATATGCGAACTTTGCAAGGCTATATTTTCCGCATTTTACAACATTTCATAACCAAACTTTGCAAATTTTAGTTTGCTCTTTCTAGCTGTGGTGATTTATTCGAGTCTCCTTGCCTAGTTTTAAAATTAGTCTATAATGGGAATTGTCTATTAACTCACAACATTTTAAGAAACATTTCGAAGAAATGCTTGTGATGTCACTGAGTGTAGTATATCCACACCGGGCAAGCTTGAAAAATATGCCTGGGCACCGTGGAAATCGAACTTACGACCTTTGGAATACTAGCCCAATGCTCTGCCAACTGAGCTACGCGGTCAGGTCGGTTCGAGTATGTGATATTTCGGAACCAAGTCTAGTTCCTTTGATATCGATGTAATCTAGTAATCATGATTTTTTTTCTGTAAAAATCGACATCATATTCACCTGAGTACATTACACCAACACCGAAAAAATTCATTTCGAAGAAATTTAGTCCCACATGAAGAAGGTTACCCTGCTTGTGACGTCATTAAAAACTCAGTTAATTAGGTCAATTATAATACCAAAATGCTGCACACTGTTTTTGGTCAAAATATTTCGAAAACCAAGCAAGGTACGAAAAAGTTGTAAAGGGTCTTCATACATAGCTAACTTTAAAAGTTCTTTCAAATAATTCAAAGTTAATTTTTATTCCCATATCCCTTTAAGAGCCATGCAATTAACAAAAATAGGTACGCTGTAGCGTACATGGCGTCTACTTGATCAAAAACAAAGAATGCTTAATGTGAATAATTTTATTCACAAAATGACCAATTTTATTGGATTAAAGATAGGCTATAATTAACATATCACACAAATATACACTTTAATTTTAGTAGCTTCCATAGCAAATCTGGTGTGTCAATCAGTCCTTAATTTAAATGTTAGTGTATTAATTATACCATTTCCAAGAAATTCATTTTTCGCAATATACTTTGCAGCCAAGAACGTTTATTGATAGTAGGCGATATCTCTTCAGAGATTTCTTCGTTTTTGTGTTCCAGTGTTCAGATGACACGAGTTTTAAAACAATGTTATACACTTGTGAAGTATAGTATCTTTCCAAGATAATTCCAATTTAAAATTGCTCTCAAAATGTATATCCGATGCTTTTATGAATATTTTTTTCACATGACAGAGACCATGGAAAAGTTACGTTATTTCAACGTTAGAGAGGTTAAGATAACCCGGTTCCGGTTTACGGGTGATATACACATACCCGTAAATTGGGGAACATCCGCCGTGAGAAAACCGATCAGATAATGGTAACTTTTGCTGTTGAGGTTTGCCATAGATTGTTGAACACTTTGACGAGCATATATGTACATTATTTATTTGGGTAAGATATTGAAGTTTTTTCTATTTAAACAGCCATAAATAATAAACAGACAACACCCATACCCGTTTGTCTTTTACATGTAGACCACGGTTTACCACGGGGAAACGGTAGAAATTACGGGTAAAAATGCTGATATCAGCAAAAATTGGTAAACAAAATGGCGATACTCGTACCCATAAACCGGTGTATCTTAACCTTCCTATTGATACGGTTGTTGCATACATCCGAACCCAGCTGGAATTTGAAAGCTGTAGTGGTCATTTCTAAAAATATAAAAAGAAAACAATTTCCCACTGTTAGCAACAATGAGAAACACACACACATTTATAGCAAACACAAAACTATTTTCAAACTTTGTTTACATTTTCAACTGCTATATTTGTAAAATATGATATACTAACTGAATATCTAACACTTTTCTGGTTCGCCATGCTTGTAAATGAATATAAAATCTACGTTTCAATTCAAAATAGTTCGAAAAATGCAAAATTTGGGCAATGTTTATTTCTTGGAGGTCCCCTAGCCTGCACAGCGACTCTCAGAGAAAGGAGAGCGGCCTGCACGAAACCCCATGCTTTGCCATTTCCACCCACTTAGCCTGCGGGCTACGCCCACTTTAAATAGATGTCAAAATTGGCCAATCACACAGATTGTTTATGTTTGCAAATTTACTTGTCAAAATGAAATATAAATATAGATTGCTGTATGTTTCGCAAATTTCAAAACAAAATAATATATCTTATTGGATTCTTCTGAGCCCAATATGGCAAAATATTAAGTCGAGACTTCAATATTGGGCGAGACCGAAGGTCGAGCCTAATATTGAAGTCGAGACTTAATATTTTGCCATATTGGGCGAAGATGAATCCAATAGGAGTTTTATTATATCGAACAAAACAATTCTATAACAAAAATTGTCAATAAGCAATAAAGTAAATACAGCGAGACTAATAAAGCGACAACATTACTACATATATCGGCGGCGAATTTGCTTAAATAACTAAAAAAAAAGTTAATAAACCTGTTTTTACAAATATGTGTGCATAAATAAACTCAATTCCATGTATGTTTAAAGGAAATTTGACCTAATTTTAATGAAAAAAATAATATTACTAACTTCTAGGCTGTTGCAAACAAATAAATTTCGCGAAGACAAGTTTTCCCGCGCTTTTATAATTTTAAACAAAACTGGTAGAAAAAACTGTATTAATGTCCAAAATTCTTTTCAATATTCTGCCATATCGTTTGTCGTGTGTTTGAAATTGACAAAACATCTGAAAAGGGTTGAAAAACCATGAAAAAAGCCACAATTCGCAACTGCCCAATAGGTTCCTGTCCAATATCGTAAAATATTGCATCGGCACATGACCCTTTCAACGATTACTGATTGGTTAAATGCGCATGAGTGTATAATAATATACGGATGTCGGCTAAAGAAAATTAAGTGGGAATAGCGCTAGGCCTAGGGCAATCTCCATCGTTGTCACAAGTAGTTTGCAGTCCATATCTACGATATTTCGTAGCTTTCTCGCACACATACAAATATAATTTATAGTTTCGACAGCGGTCAACCGTGATGTATTAAATGTTATTAAAGTTTCAAGCGATGCAGAGAAGAGAATATTAAAGGTTGTCTAAAGCCATCACTTCAGAGAAAGAGCAAATCCTGTTCATAAGACATAAGCATTTACAGCAATTCTCTCCTGGCACAAAATTTTAGCTACAAAATCATGAAGAAAAAATCTATTTGTTGTCGATGAATTGATGAAAACGAACATGCTTGTGATAGAGGCGCTGCTAACAGACAGCAATCCGAAGACACCACAGTCTATTTCTCTTCGTGAGCTTTGTCAACCAAGTTCGTAAATACCTTTATTGTTGAACCGTAAATCGTGGCCTTTAAGCTCTTTTGAATGCAAAACTCAAAGAAACGCCTCTCAATAGTACATCCACCGTGTTTGTATGAATTTTAGCATAAATTAGCATATGTTTTTCATTTTGAACCAATCAGATTTCTCGTCCTCAGAGAGAACGAGTAAATACGGCAAAGCATGGGGTTTCGTGCAGGCTGTCCTTTCTCTGATAGGCGCTACGCAGGCTAGAGGTTCCCCTTTGTTATGAGCAGAACTGATGCGCAGTTCGGAGTGGACATCATCTTTAATATATCGGGAGGAAGAATCATTATGAAGTATGAACCACAATGCATTGTGCACCCAAACCTGCTTGGCGGCCATTTTAATCACAGAAAAGAAAATAGACCAGAAGTCTCACTGTATATCTTTCCCTAACATTTTCGTGTCCGCGATTTTCGCCTTGCGGATCACGAATTTCACACGCTAGATAACATGTGCGACACTTGCTGAGAACATCACGTCAGCGTTCGTCAGCGTCAATTCTTTAAATCAACGTTTTTTCTTGAAATTTGCAAGACATGCTCAGCTCAAAGTGTATGCTGCATATTCTGCAATTATTGTGAAAATATTACTGTGAATAATACCTAGTCACAGAATAAAGACATACAGAAGTGGTATCTTCTTATTAAAAGTGCATAAGGGATTTTTTCAGTCCGCCATGTTCTTAGTAAGTGTCCTAAAGAGAGGCAGTCACCCCCCTGAAAACATATTGAAAATTTAATATTCCAGGGGGGTGAATGCCTCTCTTTAGGGCACTTACTAAGAACATGGCCGCCAGCTATTTCGGTAAAAAAGCGCCTTACGGTTTTGTAATGGAAGTTACACTTCTGTCTTTATTCTGTGACCTAGTGATGGCAATTGATGGCGTTGCTCGCGTTTGATGGCGTCGTGATTACACTTGCTGGCGCATAAAAAAATCTCGGACATAATTTTGGCTGAGTGAGGCTTCTGGTCTATTTTCTATTCTGTGATTTTAATGGCGGAATAATAGATTTTTCGGTTTTCAATCCACAATATATTTCAACCATCCTATGGTTATACTTGCTCATTTTAACTTTTTTACACTAAAATTGCACCAAAGGAATGTTTATTATCGTCATTTGTTGCTATTTATCACTTCCGAAGGTAAGGACGTGAACAAATGCGGCATAATTGTCGTTGAGAGGACAAACGTATAAAATATTAATAGCCGCATTGCATGTGATCGAAGCTTTATAAATAAAATACATATTCTCACCGACTGAATACACGTTAAGAAAAATACCAGAATCAGATAGTCATTATCAGTGAATGAGTAAAATACAATATAAATTAAAGGACGTTATTTATATATTATCTCAACAATTGAATACATGAGACTGTATATGCTCTAGAAACTCAAAACAGCTTACTATATACTCTAAAAGCAGCTTACCTTAATACTGAAGAAACTTCTTCGAAGCTTGAAATTTGCAATTTTTGCGGCGAAACTTTTATTCCAACAAAAAGAAAGCCGCACGATAGAAATAGAAACGATATATAAAATATAATGTTTCAAACCATTTATCGGAAAGAGTTCGGAAACTTTCGTAGATGCGCGGGCTATAACGTACCCTAACCA